GCGGGCCGCCCCCCAGCACCCGACGGCGGCCACTGCTCTGCTCCCAGGAGCACTCTCCCGCACCAGCAGGCTGGCCGAGTGGGCAGCTTCCCACATGTCCCCCGCCGCGGCCCGGCTGGCTGTACTGGGTGCTCAAGGAGCCGTGGCTGGGGGTGCCGGGTGCCTCCCACCGCCCTGTCCTCCCACGGAATTGCTGCCTGGGTCCAGCGCCCAGACTCCGCCCCAGGCTGCCCGAGGAAGGGCACCTGAGCCCTGTCCTGAACAGTAGGCGTAGCCCCTTATGAGCAGACATGGTGTGGACGGGCCAGTCCCCCAGTGCCTTAGGCATGGGGGCTGGCTCTCTGTCCCTCACACCCCCAGGCAGGGCCAGCTCTTGTCCCACCACAGAGATTCGGGGGGGTGGGCGATGGTTGCGACTTGAGCCTTCCCTGCTGAGGGAGGGGAGGGCAAGCTCCTCCTGGAACTGAGGTCGGGGGCCCCAGCCCCTCATCCTCCCAGCTGCCCCCAGACGACTCAGTCCCAGGGGAAAGGGCCCTGGGTCCCAGGCGCAGGACAAGCCATGATGGGGACCAGCCCAGCCAGGGACAGAGGCCCGTGGGGCCAGGCGGGGCGTGCGGCGGAGGCCCCTGCGTCAGTGTGATGGAGTCGAGTACAGACCCTTGCTTTCCACACTTTACTGTGAGAGGGTGAGGCTCTCCCGCTCGTGTGGGGGAACGCGGGCAAGAACACCCACCCGCCCCGGCCAGGCAGCACAGGGTGGGCGTGCCCCTGTGAGTGAGCGCACGTGCGGGCGAGTGTGGTGGACATGCGTGTGCTTGTCCACCTGCTCGCTCCTGGGCCGTGGGGGCCACCAGCCCCTCGCAAGGATGGAACCGCACTATAGACCTTTCTGGGCTTTTTCCCTCCACTGCTCCCCTTGGGCTCCGCCCAGGCCGCCCGCGGTGTGGACAGTCCCAGCTGCAGCCGTGACTGCAGAGGCTGGCTGGGAGTACGCGTCTCTCTCCCCAGTAAATGCCCAGAGGACACCGTCTGACCCTCACAGGGGCCACGGCTGTGCTTCTGCTCCATTATAGCCCCGGAACTCGGGGCTCGCCCAGTCCGAGTGCTTCGTGACCCCGGCAGGGAGTGGGGAGCAGCATCACCCCGACCTTGAGCCATGAAGACCCTCGGCAGATGCGCCCCAAGGGGCCCACTCCCCAGATGGGCGACTCTCGGGCTCTGGAGGGGACCTTGCGGGCCACGGCCCGGGCCTGGAGGGGACTGTGGCCAGAGGCCCTGCGGGGGGACCAGTGGAAAGTGGTGGGCAGATGTGATTAGAACAAGGGGTGCAAGATGGGGAGGCCTTCTGGGTATGCTGAGGGGGCCCCAGTCTGATGGCAAGTGTCCTACAAGGAGACGGGAGAGGGGACGACAGTGTGAGACCAGGGAGGCAGCAAGGGAGTGACGTGGCCTCAGCCCCAGACGCTAGACGAGGACAGCAAGAAGGACCCACTCCAGAGCCTTGAGGGAGGTGAGGCCGGGACGCCTGGATCTCCAGCCGCCAGAGGGTAACGCCTGTCACTCGGAGTCATGCAGGCCGTGCTGTGCTCAGACCACCGCCCACAGGGCCAGCGAACCCACGGCTGCTGACACACCAGGTCTTTCACAAGCGCCTTGCCTTCTGTTGCTTCTGCGGGGGGCTCCGGCTTCCAGAGGCACGAGGGGGCCTCCGCCTGCCAGAGGCACGCCCGCCAGCCACTGGGGCTGGGACTGCACCTCGGAGAGGCCCCCGCTGCCCTGCTCCCCCACTGCCCTGCTTCCCCGCTGCCCTGCTCCCCCTCCCCTGCTCCCCTGCCACCCCCGGCTCCACCCCCTGCTGCCCCTGCTCCCTGCCCCGGCCCATGGCCCCTGCCCACAAGTTCACCTCCAACATGGCCGGCCCCTCTACTTCCTGGAGTAGCAGTGATCTGGAAGAAAGGGGCGCTCAGAGGGAGACTCAGTGGGCACCGCCCACCCCTCAAGACCACTGGGTTCCTGAGTCCCGCGGAGGGGGCTGAGGGGTCACCCCCTCGTAGCCCTCCTGCCCTCTCGTGCCGAGACCCACCTTGGTTGGTCAAGTCGATAATATTTTCTGAACCAAGTCCGTATTTTTTGCAGGTTCTTTCGAATCTACTCAGGAACATGGGGCTCAGCTGTGGGATCCGCCCTGAAGGCAGACATGGGGTGAGTGTGGGGCAAGGGCCTGGGGAGCGCGGGCAGGGCTGAGGCTGCGGCGGGTCCTGACGGGAGGTCGGCACCAGGCCAGGCCCGGTGTGAATCTGTGGCTGGCCGGCTAGGTCTGCCCCATCCTGTGATGTCTGTGGGTAGAGCCACCTCCTCAGGCCTCGGGGGAGACCACCCGCTGCTAGCAGAGGGGAGGCGGGGGGGCCGGCCTGGAGGTACCGTAGAGGGCCAGCACCCGCGTCTGGGTCCCGTTGTGCACGTTGTGGAGGTAGAAGGTGACGTACAGCCCGTAGTCGGTCTCCGACACCAGGAGCCTGTTCTGCCCCTCATCTGGGTGGACAGGGGCGCAGCTCAGCCCCACCCTGGCCGCCCACCCAGGGCCGCCGGGTGACCGTGGGTGTGGCTGCGACCCTGAGAAGGGCTCCCTGCCCGTCCCCGAGCCCTGGCTCAGCACACCTCTCCGGCAGGCCTGGCCTGGGCCTTCCTGAGAGGGGGCCAGGCAGGGTCTGCTCGCTTTGATTTGTGGCCAATCTTTCTGGGTCCCACTGAACCCCTAAACCGTGGCTCACCAGGAAGAGCCCCAGGCCCGGCGGCTCAGACAGGAAGGAGGTGCGGCCACTTACAGACGATGGAGTACTGCCCATTCTTCTCTGTCTTCTCGCAGACCACGGCCACGGCCACGCACTCCCCCTGCACCCTGTGAGTGGCTGGGCTGGGCTCACGGCAGAGCTCCAGCCCCCGCAGG